TATTGTTGTACAGTTTTAATAATAAAACGAATTTTCAAAAATTGTTAAATGGTATTAAAGTTTTAATAGGTACTTAATAAAATACAAAATATTCTTAAATTATTTTACGTTTTATTTAATCTACGTAGAGTTCGTACGGCGTTGGTTGGTTATCAGTTGATCACTATTATTATTGTGTACAATACAATATTTGTTATAATCATATAACACGGCGTATTAGATAGGCAAGACACTTGCGTGTATAACGTAATATTATTAAAGTAAAGTTAATYTCGTGTCCATTATATATTTTTTGTTTCACTTACTTCCTTGCATTCGTTGTATCATCTGATCAACGCTTGATGGGTAGTTAAGCCTTTCAGCAAATTCACGACAATACCAAACAAGAAGTTCTTCATTTGGAAAAATTGGTCGAATAGTGTAAAAAAATATATCAGTCTATAAAAATAAAATAATAAATAAACAAATGCGGTTTTTGACTTTTGTGTTCATATTTTAAATGTATATAATACATTTATCAGATAACTTTTTAAATTATAATTTTCACTCACTCCGCATTGACAAGCGATCAAATTCTGTGATTGTGGTGAATACGGGGCACTCACGTACCGCATCCAATTGGATTTCGTTTCATCGTAAGTGTTTATGTAATAGAATGGTTTGTTTTCTTTATAAATCTGTAACGGTACACGATATTAAGTAAATGAAAAAAATGGAAGGAAAGAATTAAAATATTAGCTTTTGATAGTTTAGAAGAAAGGTATTATCTAAGTAGCCAAAGCAAATTTACCTGTTGGCGCATTTTCCGCCAGAAATTATCTTGACCTAGCATGAGTTGGACCTAATAAAAAAGTACGGACAGAGTTGTAGATAAGAAAGCATCATTAAACCGGATAGTTAGTTACTTTAGAAGCATTATGAAAGAGCTGTAGTGATTATTAACAAAACTTACCCTCCAGAAGTATTTCCGCTTTCCGTTTGGCGCGTGCTCTTTAACGCACACTTCTCCCACTAATGGGCCGAACCTTGTGCCTAATGGAATGTATATGGCACTTTTTACGCCAATGATCTGCGTAAATAAAAATAATAAAAATCAGTTAGAAAATAACATATATCTATAAACGCCTAAATTAGATATTATTATAAATGCATACTTTTTTTCCAATTTTTTTCAATTTGAGATTTCTGGGTAATGAACTCTCTGCTCGATTTGGGTTATTCGGATCTGCTGGTTGGTCTAATACAATGTAGTCGACAAATTTGTCAAATTCTTCTTCTTTGATTGAGTTGAAATCAAAAGGCAAATCGGATTCCATCGGAGGTGTTTCCTGAATGGACAAAAATATTATGGTTTAAAATTAACACGTTCACAAAYAGAATCAAATATTTATGATTATTCAGGGTCATGTTGGTCTATTGATTTCACCTTCTGAGACGGATATATTTTTAGCTARATGTGCGCATTTCATTCGTATCACATGGCCAAAAAGATAACTACAGCGGTTTAAAGCACACGTCCCGATGCTCATCGAGGTCAGGCGCTGTGCATTTAGGGCTGAGTATGAGTAGTATCTTAGGATAGAGGCAAGGAGGAGTTAAAATATGGGTCACTAGTGCCAACTGAGAGCCCTGCAAACTGCACTATCGATCGTACTGATGAATTCATATATATTTACTCTCAGTGTGCCAGTATTTCATTATGACGAGTTAGCCAAATAAAAATGCAGTTCATGTTGTCAGTAAAAATATATTTTGTTTATCATAGAAGCCCATTTATACTCTCATTTACTTATCAAACATGTAATTTTAAACAAAGAAAATGAAATGAAAAAATGTGTGAACTTTGAAGCAGTTCTGTATTTATAAACCCAAATGAAATTAAATATAGATTGCAAGTGGTGACCTTAAGATTTGTATTATTAGAACAACTGGAAGGCTAATATTATGAATAACTTGACACAATAAAATAGCAATAATGAAACCGAATCATATAGTGTTTGCCAAATACCAATGTATAGTCACGTGGATACAATAATATGTGCCCATCATAGCCTTAAATGATTTTATCATTCGTAATTTTAAATTAATATTGCATTTTAATTTAACACATTCGAAAAAACTGTAATGTAATCATACAATATAAGTACCAAAACAACCCAAGTTTTTTAATATCATATAACTTAAAATAATAATTTTTTTTAGATCAATAAAAACGTATTAAAATCAAATTGAAAGTAAAAACTAAAATCATTTTGTTTTATCCTACGAGTCTTAACGAACTTATAGAGATTATTATACTAGTGTAAATCTCAAGTAAATTACAGAAGATAAAAAAAAATGTTTAAAGCATTTCAATAAAAGGTTGTTGAACTTTTRCCCCGGAGCAGTATCCGATTACGGCTGCTGTCTAGTGTAAATCCGTCCCGACAAAATGGCGGACCGGAAAGTTCGATAACGCAGTTCTAGACGGCTGCGAAAGCAATCGATTGGCGGCGGCTTCACAGTAAAGGAGGGGTAGCGAACCAAAGAAAATACTGAGCCAATGTTGATGTAGACAAACATAATAGTAAAAAAAAAAATTAACGACTCGAGAAAACTGAATAACCAAATAATTGTCGGAGGTCCGTGGTAACCGCCAACAGACCAGACAGGATCGATAGCACTATACAATATATATGGTGTAATGTCTGGAGAATTRTAGACTGAAAAAAAAGTTCGTCTGGCGTTTGAACTCGAACAAACTTTTAACAAATATAATAAACCGTGCAAAATTGAATTTGTATGAATAATTTGAGGACGTTATTTAAGTAAATAGAATTATTGAAGTATAGGTAGGTACATAATATTATTTATGCATAMAATGATTCTGTTTATATTTTATGCTGTATTGATATAAAACCAAATATGATTGCAATTCTATAGATGTTTGTATATATATTTTTTTAATATGTATGTTCGCACATTCCACAATTATTAATGTCAAAACAATACCTACTAAAAAAAATATTAAAATGTGTGTTTTATTTCACGTCTTATTTATAAAATAATAATATTATATTACRGTTGTAGGGATAACAGTATAACACACATGTCTATATGCTCAATTATTGAATGTGTGAAAAAAAATTGCGTGCTTTCTGAATTGCACTTATACAATTATTAAATTATTAAAATGTATTAAATTTACCTGTCTCATTGTGATTTTTAATGATTTACTAGTCCTCCATAGATCCTCTGAAATTGTATAACCTATAAAGAGAAAAAAATATAAATTAAAATCTACAATACACAGAGTTTTGTTTGCCATTCAAATTAAACAGCGAATAAATTCGTTCAATATATGGGTATATGTATAACACATGTCTCGGCTTATTTTAAGACGACCGACGATCGAAGTTCACTTTGTCCCTTTTCTCCATTCAAATTATTTATACACGCACATGAAATTCCAAAAATATTTGCATATACTGATACTGAAGTGGTTCTCGCGATCTTTCAAATCAAACATCGACACTTTTCAAGTGTATAAATAATACCTAGATAAATGTACTCGTTTATGTACCACCTGAACAAATGCAAATGTTGTTCGTTAACGAGCACATAATATTATATGTTATATATATATATGTGTGTGTGTGTAGGTATATAACCTACACAGTTATAGATAGTAATATAATTAATATGTTGAGTAAAAAATGACTAATATTATATTGTTATSAGCTCGATTGAACACAACTAGCCGATGGGTTGAGCATTCTATGAGGTAGGTATAATATATCATTTAATAAATTAATAACACTGATAAGATCGAGACAATTATAGCTATATGTTTATTTATGTGCGTTATTATAAGCGTTTTACTATATTTAAAAAATTGTTTTTTATTTTTTAAATTACATATCTCACGGATGCGTTTTTCTTGAATATACTAAATATTGCTTGAATTTTATTCTAAAGAAAAATGATTATCGGTACAGGTAAATGCAGAATACCAACAAAAATTAAAACAACAAATGGCCATATTTTAAATTTAATTATGCAATTAATATGTTTTTTTTCTTTGTTAAAGTAATTAATAATATAATAATAAAAGATAAGGTTCTTTAAATTGAATTTTTTTACCAAACAAAACGTAAAATGTAACGGTTAGATAAGTCTTTTACAATTTTATATTTATTGCACAATATGWTAAGCAGTTATAGGTATGTAAAAGTTTCAAAATTTCAATATTATTTTGCTAAAATTTAATGCAGTCAGCACAAAAACCCTTGTTGTATTTATATTTCATGATAATTATTTACTGAAATAAACATAAATTTCTTTAATTACGTAAATTATTGTCAATGCTTGTGTATTGTGTACATCTTTTAATACAACTTGTTAGCAAAATGATAAGGAAATGAATGAAACCTTTAACTAAAATGATTATGAAGAAATATTAAACAGATAACTATAATATAAATTAGAATTTGGAATCATACATTTTATCATAATTGTTTTTTCATTGATTTACGTATAATTTTACAATGTTTAATAATATCGAAAGACATTTTTTAATGACTTAAATTTAATTTTTCTCTCTGGGATCATTGTGTTATACTTAAAATTTGCAGACATTAAACATAATACATATTTTGTAACATATACTTTTGTCTAATTGTTCTTAAAATAAATTCACAAGAGCTGTATAGTTGGATAAAAAAAATAACTCAGATGATATTACGTTGTTTTTTGCTAAAAATCATGAACTATATTATATAGTTCCTATACTGCAATAGCTTTGTTAAAAAAAATCTGAAATGGAAACTAACCACTAAGTAAGTTATTACCTACATTATATATTTTAAACTTCTATTATAATGTTCAATAATAGTCATTACTTCAACTTAATCGATATATCCTAGTTATAAAATCAACGGTGTACTCCCATATTTTTAAATTATTCGGAGAAACTATAAATAAAAGTATATCAATAGGTAGTTAAATTAATATTTTTTTCCCTCAATAACATTGAGATTTAAATTAAACGCATTTCGTTTGACTAYATAATAGGTAGGTACTATAATAATGTATACTATATTAAGATTTTGTCAATGAATATTTTTTTATCTAATGACACGTTTTTAATGTTTGTAATACATTTGCATAATTGTATTCAGTTACATTACATATTATTAATTATTAAAATTTTAAGTATTTTACTGCAGTTCTAATAATAGCAAAAATTTGATCGATTTAACGAATTAGAATCGAACGTTTATTATTCAATTAACAAATAAAAAACAAGCCAATAATTATGTGCATTCAAAATGTTCGTATATAAGTAATTACTGTTATTGATGTCAAATACCATAAAACCTATATAGTTAATATTTAATTGCATCATAATAATTTGTATCGTCCTTACGCGTTTATAATATGTATATTTATCAAATGTACCTAACTGATAAGAAGTGCATTGTGCATTTTGGTCAAGGACGTATTRGCGATTATCGCACAAATGCATGCAATGCCTCTTCTATATCATACATCRCTCCATTCCGTGAACCACGTCAGTAAATACGAGTTTATCGTATAATATTATAAAGTAAATAAAATTAATCTAGTTTTATTGGTTCTTTCAGTTTTCAATAACTCAATTTTATTGTTGTTGTCGTGTGTACACTGTACACAAATAATATACGAAAGATTTGCACAACCATAATAGTTAAGTGTCCTTCATCTTGTTATCAGAGTCAAGGTAGTAATAAGAATTTAAAATAATATATATTAAAAAAAAAAACACTCGTTAATAACTCGCGTTATCGGGTATAATGTTACGTTCATGCATTCAATTGGAGACTTGACCATTGGAATACTATGCAACGAAATTAAGTTTCGACATTTCATACTCATCAGTAAATTATTTTCAGATCTGATGTCGGAACGGGATTGACGGAGCATGATTTAGGATTAATAATATATAGATGACTTATATATTGTACTGTACAAAAATATAGATAGGTACTATTATTATAGGTACCTATAGTTTATGCAATGCGTAATTTAATAATTATTACTTTTTACGCTACAGCAGCAGAGGTTTCTTGTATATACTACCAGGTCACTGCTGTGTATAAACACATAAGCGCTCTTTGTGTTTTAACCCTCCCCCCTCCATAATACCTAACAAATTGCACAAATATTTAATGCTAAACAAAAACAAATTGTAATTTTGCATTGAAACAGCTGCTCTGGTGTATCCTAGTATTTGTACAAGAACACACACATATATATATAACGCGCACAGGCATCTGACACTTAAAAGTATACAAAAACACAAACTAATGGTGTGCGCCTATCGAAAATTAATTTTACTTGAAAAATTACGAATAATTTTAACAATAATAATAATAATGAATTGGAAAAGAATGGAGTAAATAGGTACGTGTTCAATTATTATGTGTTCATAAAACTACGGTTATAAATCTTGAAATTTGTAACACCTTTGTTATGTGAAATTATTAAAAAAAGCGACAAAGGGTGCATGAAAATTGATGTATATGTAATACGGAATTGGAAACTGTTATTATAATACAATTTGCCATAAAACAGCCGGTAAAAGAGTGATCAGAATAAAATGAATTTTATTTTTATCAAATTTCACTTTTAAATATGATATATTATATTCATAGATACCTAAATTATGGATATACCAAATGCTAGATTAAAAAAATTCAACAAGTGTTTTTAAAAAATATACTTGAACAGTTATATATGCTATAAACAATACATTTTTAGAAATGTATATAATATAAACAAAATATGATTAAATAGTGATTGTAAAATTAGATTATCTTTAGAGATTCTAATGATTTTTAAGAAAACATAAGACACTTATGATTTATGAATGATATTGTTTTTATTTGTGTACGGTTTTTTTWAAAATAGTTAATCTATATCCTATAATCTCTAGTATTGATTAACACTATCAAATAAAAAAAACCGTGTTAATCTAATAAAAACTGAGCAAAAATAGTCTCGTGATTCATTTATTTATATCTACAATTGGGTAGGTATACTTAATACATTATTTTTTTCAATATTCAAAAGACAAATTCTCTTAACAATACAAACATTTAGCTTATCTTAATAAATAAAATATAGTAGTAGTTTATATTACAGGTATAATACATTATCCATATTAAAATAAAGCTGTTTCGATAAAAAATTTATTTTTCTTTAGGACAGCGTATCTACATAATTTTAGATCATTGTATATAATAACAGAACGTGTTCTTGATCGAATAACTTATTCGATATAGTGCCGAAATATCATTAGTGAGYACATTTTTTTTATTATTATTATATTAGACACAACTGATTAGAACCTATTACAACACTTTGTATCAATACATAATATTGATTTTTGAACAATATAACAAACAATAATCAAATTTATTTTAGTGATAATCGTTTACTAGTACGCGTTGGTAAGACTACTCTTACTCAATTAGAATTATGTAATATTTTAYCAACGATCTACCGGAAAAAACTATCGAGAACGTGTTTCGTGGAAATATACACGAAAAAGCTCACGAGGCATACACAATTACTAGATTAATGATGTTCATGGCCGCAGCCTTGGGTCTCGCGTTTTTTCCGTTGCACATATTATGCRCTTTAATGCAATCAAAATTCGATCTCCGTGTGTGTCCCAACGTAATAATAATAATAATTATGACATATTATTATCGTAATGTAAACGTGTGAGTTGTAAAATGTAAATGACAAGGAAACGATTCACAAGTATGCGTTATACCGATAGCCAAGAAACTAATATTCTACACGTTATATTAATTGAACTACACGAAAACGTGCGGCTCGTGATTTCATTATAACGATCTGTTCGTTCTATACCAGATTATGWGATAATAATAATAAATATCGTACAATTTAAACTTGGTTAATACTATGATATAATTATTGTAATTTAATTATTAGTCYTTCGAGAAATGTTTTAATTCTGATTTTTTGGTAATATTACGCACAACATGTAAAAATCCGTAAAGGGTAAAAAATAATTTWAAAAATGTTAAAATATTTAAACGTGTACCTATCTAAAGTAATAATATGCGCAAACCATGCTTACCCAGACGACCGGCGGGCCTGGACTGTTTCTGCGATTGAAAACGAAAACGAAAAGTGTGGAGCTTGATAAACAAAAAGTATGTTCTAAGCAATCAGGCGTTGTACTGACCTAAGGCAACATAACGGTCTGTGTGCAACGAATTCTGGCTTGCACGACGAGGATGCGCTCTGCTCCCCCACTGCCACACCACCCTACCCACCATACTCAGCTATTATCCCGTAGTCGACGACGCCGACGYCTGGTCCCTGGCGCGCGCGCTTTGCTCGTTTACCCGCTGCACATCACTCCCTCTCCGCACGCAAGCCAAACGAAACGCGCGGATGGTCGTCGAGTGCATTTCCGCATGCGCCTTGGTGCATCAGGACGACGACGCAAGCGCACGCCGACGCGGAGCAGCAGCACCATAGCAGTGTCGGCGTCAGCGTCAGCGTCGGCGGCAGCGGTGGCGGGACACACTCTCGCTTTTTCGCCAGCGCATATTATAATATACAAACCGACAGCGACGACACACACACAAGCTCACACATACGTGCACACACACACACAGAAACACACACACACACATGAAAATTCGGTCAACGGTCAACGGCAATTTGGCGTTACACTTGTATTATGCAAGAGCAGTGTGTGTATACGACGCGTTTTCCAATAGTTCCGAAATTCATATTTCAAGTTGTATACCTAACATAACCTGTGGCCCATAATAACTTAAAGAACGACGCTCAATATGAATTTTCGATTATTATTTATGTACCCCATTTACTTTTAAAAATGTCGACCAACTGTAACTGACGAGCGAGCGCGCGTGCATTTCATACGGATTGTAAAACAAAGACTACAATGATTATATATAGGCAGCAATACCAAGGTATATATCATTGGAATAGACATATACATCACAACATTGCGATTCTATATTTAGGTTGTTTAACGTTGCGGATAAAAACGTAGTGCATGTTTGATGTACGCGTCCKTCAACAGTACAATATACTGGAGAATTATAAAAATAAATCAATACGTTCCTCCRTGGTACATATTATTGTATATTATGAATTGCAATCAATCAAATATAATTCGAATGAAATCTAACTCGACGTATCCAAGGTGGCTGTCAGTGGCAGTGGTACGATCTTATTAAAGTCGAGTTTTTTTTATTGTCGTAATAAATGCAATAGAGTGCAATACGCGCGTAAGTGATACGCGTATACATGCATTATAATATTATATGCACTCGGAGTGGGAGTACATTGTATTATTATGAACACAACGAAAAACCGTGTAATCGCAATGTGCGTGGGTTTTCAATAGTGTCGCGCGGTGTATTCGATGTATCTGAATGTGCATCAAGGTCATCACGTAATGCGCTTGTTGACGGCGCGCGCGCGAATWGCACACGATAACTGGGTCAATCACTATCGCAACTTGTAAATATAACGCGAAATAAATAACAAATTAGTAATCGTTTACGTTGATTTTCAATACGTAGCACTGCAACTGCGTCGGCGACGGGCACCGACGCTCTGAGCGAGTGTTGCGGGTCGCTGCAACGGAGCTCGAAGCGTAAGCGAATATGACGAGGGGGTTGAGTAGTCGGGTACGGATGGTTGTCGTTCGCCCGAAGAGGGGGTGTGAAATAATGTGAAGGTGGTCGTGATTATGTGGACATTTTTAGGAAAACAACAACAATAACAAACGAACGGAAAATAATACGCTTGTGTATAACGGAAGAAAAACAGAAATCGACCAGGAAAGCGTAACGGGAGCGGGAACGGCAGTGTAGTTCTAGTGCATATAGTGAGAATACCCTCCCAGCCAGGAATATAGCGGACAAAAGTTCATCAGGTCACCGAGATAGCGGCGGCGATGAACGACAGCGCGTAATATTGAGGACGTTCGGTCAGTGGGCGTGACCTAGTGGAGGCCGTGGTATAAGCGAATGAAAATCGGAAGTATATATAATATAGTATAATAATATATAATATACTATATATATATATATATATATAATGTGCACAGTGTTGGCGACGCAGTAAAACTGCTGCAGGAGCAGAAGCAGCAGCAGCAGTGGCAACACACTCCTTCCCCGACCACGAAAGAGTCGGTCAGGCAGCCGTAGGGGTTTCACCGCCGCCGCCTCCTTTCTCTTCAGAATATTCGCGTTATACATATCTCCCGCTCGTTTTGACGTAACGGGAGTGTTATTATTATTATTATACATTTCGCGTCTGTCTAGAAGATATACACGACTACACGAGTATATACCTATACAACACACTACATTTGTATTGCACTTAGTTAATGCGCCGGCGCCGCTGCAACGTTTCGTACTTCCTTCCGCCCCCGTCACCATCGATACAGCGAGTTTGAAGGGTTTGTTATGGTTTCCGCACTGTATATTTTTATTTTTCCGTTCCCCTTTCTCGCATAATCATTAGCAGCTTTATAAAGCTGCAAAGCTGTGAGCGCAGCATTATTATATTATTATAGTTTTCGGCCGCCCAGACGGAAAACGATTTTCGCGACGTGAAAAGACATGACAAAACCCGCCAGCCACCGTCGCCGACGCCACCGCCGTCGGCTTGCCCCGGGTCAATGACCAACTTGCACACACACACGCGTGCGCGTGYGGCGCTCACTCGCCGGTAACGGTAACATAACCTCAATCTTGACGCATTTTATTTTTCGATTCTTTTGTCGATTCTCATCAATAATTTATTTATCGGCTCATTGACCTTACCACGGGAGTTCGCACATAATAATAATAAAATACATATATAATATAATATAAGTACACCACCTATATACACAGATAATTATAATTTACTTACGCGCAAACGCCGCATCAAGTGTCTCCCGTGGTGATTAACACGATCGATTCATATTATTATTATTACCTATTATTATTATTATTATTATTATTATTATTACTATACACTGACTGTCGCACCGATTCGAGGCAGGATCGTAGCGGAAGCGACTGTGGTGATGAATAGATAATATGGACGAAAATGTAATTATTATATAGTCGTAAAACAACATATTATCATCAAAAAAATTTACGACAGTTTTAATAGCATAATATACAAGAGTTATTTTTAAGTTAAATAAATGTTTTTTTTGTGATTTGTTGTCGTTCACACTTTTCAACATGCTTTGAGATCCGGCTGCGGTGTAACACACGCGTACTATGTATTGTGTATATAGTTATAAATGTTATAATGTATATGTACTTCATTACTCATCTAATCTTCTAGATTGCAGGTGGAACATTATCTGATTTATAAACGCGCACTGATTATGAAAAATAATATTAATTAAAGTACATTAATAAYTAAGATAAGATTTAAAATATTGTGACCACCCATAATGTACCTATAATTTTTGTATATATTAGGTATAAATTATTATTCTCCAAATGAAATGTCAAGCACTTCTGATTTCTGAACACTTTCAATTGAATCAAAACGGAATAATAATAATAATATTGCGAATCTCATGATAGAATATTAAAATGAGTAAATGTTATCCTATACAGAGTATGTATACTCGATAGAATTTTTTTAAATTGATCTTGATATTTAAGTTATATCTATAAAATGTAACACGTTAAACAATATTAATAAACACCTATTATAATACAATCATATTTTTTTTTTTATCGTTCAAAATTCATTCATTTCTAACAAACGTGTTATTTGTTTTTACGCATAGTACATAAAGGGCGTCCAAAAATGATTTTAAAATAGTTAAATAAATGCGATTATCCAACAATGTTCATTTTAGACATTGCACCTACTCAATGAAATATACATGTATATGTAGTTTGTCTAATGATAAATTATAATTAAAAACTGAAAAATTATCCAATACGACAACGATTGATCTGTACCTAATAATAATAATAATAATATACTCTATAAGCGCACAAAACTGCTTATAATGTCTGTGCACAGTGACATTTTCAATTTAAGGATTGCTGCCTGCAGCAGTAAAAAAGTATAAATATATATTTATATATGGGTACATCCGCGGTCGATGGATTTRTAGCTTCGAAATAAAAAAAAAAACAACAAAATATATCTACACCAAGCGTTTATAATATGTATGCTATATACCTTTATATCAACTGTAATAACGATGCATGTGTGTTAATTAATTCGAGTGAGTACTAAATTGATTGCAAAAAACTTAGGTAGAAAAAAAATTGTATGAGTAACAATTTCTTATGTCGTTTTGCAGCACTCCCCGCCACGCATCATCATCGTCGTAGTTCTTCCCTTCCCGACGCGGACGACTTTTACGGGCAACACTGCACCAGAGCCACAGCGGTGACCGGTCGTTGAACTCTTATGCGCGGCAGCCGTACATAACAATGTATATTATTATTATTATTATTATTATTATATGTATATATATATACGAGTAACGAGTATAATTTAGCCATATATAGGTACAGTGACCGCGACGGCAGCGGATGAGTTTTCCAAAATTGCAATAAATGCCCCCCCCCCGGCCGACGGGATACCGTGTGTAATCGCCGCGTTAAAAAACTGTGGTGCCCGACGTGTACGGGCATGTGCTAAAGAGGGGAGGGGGAGGATAATATTTGTAAAATTGCCAAAAAATTGAGGCAAGACGCTCGCGAACGTCGAACGAAAGAAAAAGCGATGCGCTCGCGCGCGCGACGGGAATCCGACGCCTGGACTAATGACCTCCTTGTAAGTGGAACAAACCGGACGCGACAACGCAGACACTCTTCTTTTCGACGAACCGAAGCTTTGAGCGGACAATTTTTTTCCCCCGTCTCTGCGAACCCATCGTCTGCAGCCTACACCGGCGCTGTGGCATGTATAACGATATTAATATATGATATAGACACGACGGTAAATTTTCTATTCCCACAGTCAACATATCGTTACACGCATGTATAATGTATACACGAGTACATATTATATATAAACACAAAAGTACAAAAACATGCTACATGTGTGCGCGTATACCTCCCGGGACGTTATAATAATATATTATATGACCGTTATTGACGGCGTCTTTTTGTGTGTACGACACCCCAACGCAACGATATATACTGACCATAAAATCACGACAATATAATAATAATA